TGCCCTCCATTATGACTGTAAATGTGTTTTAGATCTTTATTCTTCTCCCTTACTCATCACATTATGGGCTCAAATGACCAAATTCAGCCCTATGAGCCTGACAGGGGATCAGAAGGCACCATCAAGGCCCTGTACTGCATGATTATTTGCCAGCATCTCAACCTCCTTCCAAGAATCCACTTTTAGAGGCTTTCACTTTTTTTCCCCCACTATTTGCTTGTAACTCTTAATCCTAAAGATTTGTATGTGAGCCGATGAAATTTCATCCAAGACGAAAAATCTCAGACAATAGCTCTCAGAAGTATAACATGACCCTTCACAGGTGATTTCTGAAAACTCTGTAGAACATTTTATGGCAGCATTAACTCTTCCATTGCTCATGACATAAAAAAATAAGAGCTGTTCTTACACCTCTTCTTGGTACCTAAAATTTCCAATGTCCACTCTTACAGCTGTCCAAGTTACAAATTTGCTCTTGGTCATTTGTAACAGAAAATTAATAAGTACAACACTTGCTTTAAAACATGTACAAAACAAAGTCCTTTGTCCACTGTAGCTTGATTTAAACTGTTAATTTTGTATTTAAATTGTAATACAAATGTTAAAAACTTTTTCTTCACACATTATAAAGAATCCAGAATATCATGCAAAACAAAATATATATATATAATCTCACAATAAAGTTTACACCCAGCAGTAAGGACACTGTCAAGTTCTCCTACTGTAATTGTGGCTTTGGTTTCTTTAAAATCCAATTTTGGCTGCATTATTTATATGGATGGAATACTTCATTATGAGCATTAAATCAAGATAATTTTCACACTCAAACCATAAAGATATGCACTGCCAATTACTGTATACAATAATATCTCCATTGTTCATTGTATTCCTCAAATGTATCAATGCCAACAAGTGCCTAAATTATGCTGTGAATACACTCTCAGTGAATAAATGTTAAAGGAGTCATGCATCAGTAAATACCAAAACCACCAGCACAAAAATCTCACAAGTATAATAGTGGTCTTGAGCTAGCAGAAATTACATTTATAAAATGCTGAGATTAGTTTCTCAAAGCAAGTTACAAATTATTTCAAGTATATACATAATTGAACAACCTATAAGAATGAAACCTTTAATACTGAACTTAAAGCACTGGAAAAATGAGTTGCATTTAGTGGATAGGAGTACAGGAGGGCAGGACAATTTTTATTTTCTTTTTTTAAAGCTTGTTTTACCTGGAACAAGTTACTGAAAGTCACTGAACTTTCCTTCTTGTAACAGAGGTTGGAAAAATTCAAGGGTGGTGGAAGCTTCAATGCAGAAGTTTTAAACAGATTTTGTACACAGAAACTTGCACTCAGTAAGTCAAGGAAATAACATTATAGATCACTGGAAGAATCAGCAGGGTTAGGACCAAAGACCATGAACTCCTCCAGATGGTACAGCCATCTTCCAAAATATCAAAGCAGTGCAGTGTGCAGCAGCACACCAGAACTGTCCATTTCACTAAGAACACACTTAAAAACGGAGGTTTGGTTACAGAGACAATTGGAATACTTTTAAATACAAAACCTATTCAAAGAAAGCAGCCAAAATAACAAGAAACTAACACAACAACTGCTCAGATTATCACATAATACATTGTCAATTCTGTTGTTTCCATTTTCCTCAGAAATCTGTTTTTCTGTATCTAACACACAAAAATCATTAACAGCAGTCAATTTTCGACTGAGCATTTTCTCAGAATTCATCCATTAGTGTCACAGTGATCACATGAACAGAAAAGTACAACAAACACTTTAAAGTTAAATGCTAAAAGCGGCGGCAAGGTTACCATTAAAAACCAAAAAATAAAAGGAGTATTGCAAGACGTAGCCTTAGTAAGGAGATCCTATGCCTGAGCAGGCATATAGGAGCTTCTTTTCATTTAATCAAAATAACATTTCTTTTAATAAATGTTAATACTGTACTTTATAAAGCATCATGCAAAAACAGAAACAGGTTTATCACATACTGACAAAAAGGATGGAGAATCTTCATCCCATATCCTGTGTTATTTAATTACACACCCAAATTCACAACCAAAAGAACTATTTACCTTGATGTGCTCTAACACAACACTGCATTTTCAGTAGAGACTGACAACTGTGGAGTAGGAAAATGGTCCCTTTTTCACTGGCACCATAAATAACATGCAGAGAGGGGACCTCCTTTAAAAGTCAATTAGAATATTAAGTCCTGTTTTGCTTTTCTTGTTCTCTTTAGCGTTGCTCCTTTGTAAAACTATGATCACTTCACCTAAGTGCTTCAACTGAAATGTTTACCTTAATCAGCCATAACAACAAATTCATAAGACTGTTTAAAAGCATAAAAGAGAGTCTCCTTCCTCATCTGATACAATTTCACTATATTTCAAATCCAGTGACTGCCCCTAATTGTGCAGCAAGATAGACACAATGAAGATTACGATACCCCATTAGAGAACTCATTTTGGTCAACTTTTTACCTACTTGTTCTCTGCATATTCACTCCCCTTTCACATTTTGGCAATTACCTCAACATCTCCAGTAGTATCAGAAACATTATCACCTCATTTTTACATGAAGGCGGTTAACACAGGATGAACAGGGATGCCATCCTTCTGCCACCAAAAAAGACAAGACTGATAATTATGGTAAGACCTGTACCTCTGCCATTCTAGAATATGATGCGAGAAGAAAATTTACATCAAGAGACTTGGTGCTTTGTTTTGTTTGTTTGTTGGTTTATTTTTAAGAAAATAAGAAAACCACTGATTTACTCAGGAAAATGGTAAGCTAAAAGAAATGAACAGATTTTTCATTTAGTTTTTCTTTGGATTTTGAGACAGAACTTTCACAGACAACCATAACACACACATCAGTTCTCACCATCTTACTTTCTCTTAATAACCACGTACTTGCTAGCAGTTTTCCTTAGTAGATTCCCGGCCTCAGATTCTTTTCTCCGAGCAGATCCAGTTGGCAACAATACAGTGCCAAGCTCTGGATTAAACATTAGCACTGTTCCATTGTTTGCACCTTAGAAGCTCCAACAGTGAAGATGCAGCAGTAGCAGAAGTTTCACAAAAAAAAAAAATCAAGAACGCTACCATACTGCAGGTCTTGACAAGCTTTAGAGAACTCTAAATCACTTCAGAGCATGCTTGATCAATCTATCCTGTCCCTTTTTGCATCTAGACACCAGTTACTACCTAACGTCTCCATACCAGCTGAAGAGTATGGACAGAACGGCAACCTACTTTGTACAGAAAACCAAAGATTTGCGCTAAGAGAAGCAAATGTTGAGAAAAGTAATGTTATTTCTACAAATTTGTGACTTTTGTAACTCTAATCCTCTAATTCAAATCCTATGCTACATCTTCATTCTTTCCCTTTTACTTTTTCATCTGTGATGCGCAAGGTACACTGTTAAGTGGCTTCATATTAACAAGTAACACAAAAGCATACTCTCCAATTTACCTATTTAAATTTCCAGAAATTTCTCTTCCATGGTTTGTTAGGAACAGTGCCTTTTGTTTATATTCATGTACAAAATGGCACCACAGCCTTAAGTAAGCTTGATTATGAATGAATGTTCTTGTCAGCTACAAGCAGATGCATGTCCATACACATGAAAGGTAGAAATGAATCTTCACAATTTATGGGCTTCAGAGTAAGGAAACATTTACCACCTACATTCAATCTAATTTCAAGTTCCGCTCAGCAAAGTGATAGCTGAGAAATGACAGTTACCAATCATTTCCAGCGTATACCTCAGCTGCTGCATTATTATAAGCACGAAGCCTCAAACTTTAGAAGTTACCTGAGTAGAATCAAGAAGATTATGATCAACCAACAGCTGATAAGAATAAAGTTATACAATCTTTACCTCTGCTACAATGACCTTTCTTGGATCTGAAAAAGCCTTGTGAATTAGAGCTCACAGTCAAAATGAGATTTATCCAAGATTTACAGAAATATTAGTGATCTAGAAACAGAACAGGTACCCCCAAGACACCGATTCAGCTCTATACAAAAGGCACTAAAAAGCAAGGCTCAACAATGTGTTTTTTAGTTTGAATAACTGCTTGAATACACAGAGCAACTACCACAAAGTACACGGTACTGAGGGGCACTGGCTTCATGGTGTCTGCCTGCGAACCCCACAGCAAATGTCAATCATTCCAGGTAGCCTGCACTTTAATCTAACTACCTTGCATTACCAAACCATGGTTACAAACAGCTTCCATGTAAAGCAGAGTAGTAGGATTGTAACATATGAGTAATGTAGCAGGTGAGAAGTAATGGAATTGCTTCTGATTCAAATTGGTGAATTTATTAGGATACAACATCTGTAAAATATAGTAAACTACACCAGTTTTCTTAACTGTAGCAAGTAAAACATCTTAGGAAATACATAGCAGCAAACAATAATAATCCTCATTTGGGTAGTTGAGTAATTGTATAAGGAAATAATTGTTACACTATAAATGAAAAATATTTTTAAAAAACTGTGTTCCATGTCTCAAATACTGCTAATATAGAAAGCCATTAGGGATCTAGTAATCAGCAAGTCATTCTAAAGGACAGAATGTTGAGAATTACAGTAAGTTACTAAACAGGATAATTTCCCAATTCTATAGCCAAATACTGTCTGGAGTACACATCAAAACAAGAAAAAAAAGCTTTCACATGCTTTCACATTTGTGATTTCACTACATTGCTTAAAACAGCTGTTGAAAAGTCACTGGTCTTCCATGCAAGTTAAAACATACAGGCTTTTTAGTTAATTTTGTTAAATCCAGAAGCAATTTAGAAATTTTTAAAAAAATTCTAAGATTTTGAAACTACCTTTGAATTTTCTGAATTTACCTTTCAATTTACAAGCAAAATTTAAATTCACTTCTTCATTAATAAAAAATACAACTTTACTAGGACTGAAAGTACTTATTGAAAAGGTTAAAAACCACTTGTTCCTACCTCCACTTTTGTTCGGTAAAGAATGAGACGCTTTAGGCTGCCCACTTTGGCTATGTGGTTGAATGCCTGAGGTGGTATTTTATCACATGATGAGAGATTTAATTCCTGAAGATTTGGACACATTTCAGTAATCACCTCCAAGCATGTTTCATTGAGGAAATGGCCACAAGACAACTCAAGACGCACTAGTTCAGAGCCACAAACTTTCAAGAACCTGTAAGAAAACCCACATTAAGACAAAAATAAAGGTACTTTCAGGTGAGAGTCTGAATACTGTCAAAATCTTAAGCATTTAAAGCAGGAAAGTTTCTTTCATCAACGGAAAGCCTACAGACCACAGCTCTTGTATCAACCAAGTTAACTAACAGAAAACAGGATTAACTTAAAGTAAATGAATCATAACCACTCTGAAGAAGTTATTTCTGAATCAAATCTGTACAAATCCAGAAGACACCAAACCAATTAGGTGCTGAGCTAGAGAGCAATATTCAAAAACCAAAGGTAGCCTGAGAGTCAAGGCTGTTTCATAAACATTTAACTTGATACTGTACATAACCTAGATATTATACAATGTTTTGTACAAAGGAATATTTGACTACATTTTAAGAAGCACAAAAGGCTACGTAATGCTGTACATGGTATAAGGAGGCAAATGTCACTAAAGTAGTCTTAAAAAGCAATTCTACCTTGAAAATGAATTGCAAAAGAAATACTGGGGGCAAGAACAGTATAAAGAAGGCTTTTTATTAACTGTTTGCTTTAGAAAGTTGAAATGTGCTTCATGCTTGCCATTTACTCTGAGACAATGGAGCAAGTACAACACAGATAATGTTTGAAATGCTTTTAAAAACAGTCTCCAAAGCCAATTTCGGCAATGGCCTGCAAGTTTCCATCAATTTCTTATTCCCCTTCATCTCAGAAAAATCTGCAAATGTAAAAATGGGGTTAAACAAATACTTCTAAACGGTTTAAATATTCAGGAGAAGTATTTTAAGACTTTCAGAAAAACAACTCATTCCTTTCATTAAGAAGTCAAAATCAACACTTTGTAGCTGTTCCAGAACACAGAGATTCCTAAGGATTATTTCACATTACTTTCATTGGAATTATAAAAATTTGAGATATTTGAGGACATAATATCCAAAATATAGACACTCTGGTGGTCCCTGCATGAATTACACCTTCTATCAGTGATCTTGTGTCAGGAATTCAAGCTCTATTAAATTTAACCCAAGCTTTAATTAAAAACGTATAAGCTTATGTCACTTTTTATTGCAAAGATAACCTTCAAATTGTAAATCAATCACTAGGCTTATAAGTTTGATATTCAATAGGGAAAAAAAACCACCCACATATTTGCTTTGATTTTGTTATACTTTAATAGTTTCTCCAGTAGAAAATACTAAGTTCCTAACCTATGGGCTGCTAGGAGTTCCTCTTATTACTTCCTAGAATAATGGAGCTGCTTGTGAGAGAGCATGAATTAGTTTCTCATAATCAATATTCTGATCTGCTCTATTAACAGTTCTATCCTACAAAAACCTTCATGCAGACAAAGCAGCTTTAGGTTCTGATACCTTCACCATAAAGTTTGCATGACTTCTTGGGTCTAGCTAATACAACAGAAACGCCAGAGACACACAAGGCTTCTATTTGCACAAAAACTCCTACTGCTACAACTACACAGATATTAGCCTTCCCAAGACTTTGGCTGCTGCTGAAACTTAGGATGAAACAGCTGCTGGTCTTAAAAGCAGAGACATTCAGGGAGGCATTCCTCAATAACACTAATAGTAGCACAGGACTTGAAGTCCATCTTTCAAGTTCCAAGTTTTCAAACTTTCTCCTTTCCTTATTTTTTCATTACTCACTCAAGTCATACCTGTCATTCATCACCACCTTTCTTTATTCCTTTCATCTTGCACATCACGCAGCCTTAGTTTGATTATGCAGATCCTGCACAATACAGAGGGGAAAGGAGATTGCAGGGTGGCATCTCTAGAGAGATCCAAGAGTCACCTGAAACCTTGACTGACCTGATCTAGCGTTGGGGACATTGGCACTTCAAGTGGGAGCCTGGAGTAGACGACCTTCAGAGGTCCCTAACATCCAACATTTCTAGGAGCCTATGCAAACAGAAACAAAGAGAGGGTCTGAGACACGAAAGGGGAGACACAAGCTCCAGAGCCACAGGGATTCTGCCAAGTATGGCATTCAGATCTACTTTTCCACTATTTTTGTCTAACTCTGCAGTCTCTCTTTAGAATCTATTTCAGCTTGTAAAATCAGAGTTTATCAAACTCCAAGCACTTATTTGCTGTCTTCATACTGGATACAGTGAATTCACCTAGACTGGTAAGCCTTCTAATGGGAGTGGCAGAGTGGAAATGACAATTCAAAAAGATTTACATCAGGTATTTAAACATCAGACTGCTATTTTAGACTAGCAACAGAGTTCAACACTGCCATGCAGAAACACAGGATGGAAATCCCCTGGAAAACAGAGTAGAGACATATGGATTCATTGCCGATTACCAATTAGCCAATTCCTCTATTTAATGTGTGCTTTAACAATAGATTCACACAGCTTCTTTCACCAAGAAATTATCAGGTTTGTTTGAATGGTGAAATTTTCCATAAAACTTTGTCAATTGCCACTTATTATACGTCTAGCTTTTAATTTGCTAACGGATAAATATTTTATGAATTACTCCATTACAATAATGGATGTTAGGTTAACTGCCATATAATTCAACAGGGCTTGGCTGTTACAAATGCTGGTGCAGATCAACACTTTTCTCCTCCTAGGACTATTAAAAGTTAGCATTACCAGGTCAAAGAAACACTCAGTTAACCCCTTAAATTTGGTGAAGAACTCCAGGCTCACCAGTCTGAGGAGTTATTATCCCCATAACATTTTATTTAAATTCACTGCACTTGAAACACACAGGTAGAGCAAACACAATAGCATTGAGCACTGCACTTCATGGCTTTGCCACCTTTTTGGAAGAGGTTATTTAGGAGACACTACACAGAAAGGCAGAGGGATAAGGGACATGCAGCAGGGTACAAGAACAAGCTGACAGGCATGAAGTAAAGGGAGGAAAAGAAACAGGAGGAGGAAGTTGAGGAAGTCACCAACCAGCACAGGGCAGAGAACACTGGGCAGAACTGCAGAGCTCTCTGAAGGAGAGCACTTAACAGGCTGCTCAGGACACAGGTTTTCACCAATATCTTTCTACATGGATCTCCAAAGACACACGGCAAGGTACAACATGGGTTCTCATGCTTTCACAACAAAAGTTTGATTGTTTTTGTACTTCTGAGACTTAAAAGGCACTGGATGGCTGGGTCTGATGTAACTCATTTGAAAATAACCCCCCAGAAAGCACCTTCTACCCAAATCAGTGCTTCTTCACATACCTCTCCTTTAATCACTGAGGACTGACTGGTTCCCGTTTTTAGTCTTGCCTTTCTTCACCAGTCATTCATCTCTTTAGTTCTGCTGTTATTATCAATATTTCATACACATGGATGGTTGGAGAGATTCTTCTCTTCAGCACTTTCCCTCGTATGCTAGCATCCAAATCAGGGATGTTTCCTCTATTACTTGACAGATACAACACTGCCCATTTGCGTAGCCTTAGTTCTACCTCCTAGAACTAGCAGGTCATGAAAACAATCGCTTCAGTTTGCTTCAAGCCAACTACACAGGTACCTGATCTTGTGGTTTTTCTTTTTCAACACACATTAAACTATTTCATTAAAAACATGCAAACCAAAAATTATTACTTAATCTCAGCTACAGCAATTCTAGGTTTTACTAAAAACTGTGAAAATTAAAGCATAATTTTCAAAGTGAGAATCCCTGTCACACATTACTCCCATTTTCTGTGACTATTTGATGTATTTTTCAGTAATTTCTCTGACCTTCCTGCTATTTTGATTTGTAGCAAAACCTCAAAGTTAAATACTATCAAAATACATCTTTATTAAACAGCAACTAAAGCCTTCACATTTTAACAACAAAATTGTTAAGGAAGTATTCCCAGACACACTTGACACGTAAACACTGCATCACTAACCTGAAAGTAACATACTATTAATTCATTTTCAGAGTAGAAAATGTTAGAAAGTCCTAACACATCAAATATTTAAAGCAGAAGAGTTTAAACAAGCTAATGACATTATCAGTGATACAAAGAAACCTGCAGGCAGAACTCCATTTTTAAACTGTCACCATGCTTGAGCTGTTCAAACCTCAGAGCATTTATTGAGCATCTCAATATCCAGTATAGCTCCAGTCAACTCACCTCACTTTTCCTATATAAGTCTTATCCTCCCACACTGTTATTGCCCTGGCATGAACAAATTCACCAAACCTTTAATGCCAAGGGAAATGCGGTGCTGCTTATGTAATGCAGCTGTGAAATCTTCGCTTATTCCCTGCCACTTTGCGTCCCAGACACTCGAGACTGCTCAGATACTTATTTGTCTTTCACTTTTCTGTATACTTTTAGTTCAGTCTAAACAACAAACTTCAGCTAATGTATATTATATGCTGAAATGAAAACTATATGATAGTCACTTTTAGCCCTAAGGAGTAGATGTTATCAATAAGTTAAAATACCTTCAGCTTTGCCTCGGGATGTTCATATGCCTGAAGCATTCTGGCTTCTCATGATAATGCAGTATTTGCTTCAGTCACATTTCTTAAATTTATTCTTTTTAAAAATTTTCTACTTTAATACATTTTTGCAAGAAAACATATATTCAATTATTTCTTACAATCATGTCTGTATGAAGCTTTTAAAGCAACAAATTTACACAAGCTACTTTTAAGACTGTTGTAAGAAACACAAGCTTTTTTGGAAAGTTATTTGTCAAAATAAAATTCAAACAGGTGTAGCATTTAAACATACCCTGACTTGCAGAAATCATAACCTAAACTGTGTAAAACTCTACCCATTTTGAATTCAACAGTGCCAATTTTAACACCAAGTGCTGAGAAAAGTGAAAAAATAAAGAAAACAAAATTTTAAAAAGGCCCTGCAAAAAGTCAAGTGCTGTTATCTATGAGACTAAGGTATTTCGGTTTTAGCATTTTGCTAGTTTTATACTGCAACAAGTTGTAGTGTTTCTGAAGTTATTTACAAATTTCATATAGAAAACAATGGTTATTCTCCTTAAATTGACAAATACAGGTTGGTTTTATAAGAACAGCATAACTGAGTCCTTCAAATTGTTAAAACTTCCAGGTAGATTTATCTACACCTCCAAGTAGTTGGCTTGACGGCCATTCAACATCGCTTATGCAGCAACTTATCATGAAATTCATAAACTTTATATAAATTTATGAAAGTTCTATAAATCTGTATAAAAATTTATGAAGTATTGGAACAAGCAATTTAGGCTCGCTTCAACTCAACCTCAAGTTACGAGACTTTTAAATCAATAAAATACAAAATAAAAGATGCAGCTTGGTAATCTACAGGCACACCTCCCTGCCTTATTTAAAAATTTCCACTGCAGAAAGCAATAGAGGATACCAAGATCAGAGAGGCAGCATAAAGAGAAACCAAGAAACTGACTGAGAAACATTCATGCAGCAGGCAGCACGACAAGATTTTACGTTAATAGATGTAGTGGTACATGTCTTCTAATACTATGTACAGACAGAAATACATAAGTATTTAATTTCAGCAAAGGATAATTAGTGTCTGAGCATCTGATTAAGATTTAGTAGCAGTTAACATCAGCAGTTAAGTGATAGAAGCAGCAATGCACTCTCCTCAGCCAACTGAGAACCTCCTCTGCAATACCCATATTCTGAAGAGTAAACTAGAAATAAAATTTAAGCGTGAAATAGCACTCCCAGGAAAGTCAAAGTACCTCCGTTCTTTGGAAACTCTGTTTTGCATAGCATCTCTCAAATGTCTCACTGGGTGAGGAACATCTACAAGTCCAAAAGGAAAAACTGTGGGAGTTCATGACTACGTGTCCTAGATGATGCAATATCCACATGTTGGGGGTTTTTTAATGACAGCCAGGGCAATAAAACTAAAACTTTACTTGACAGATTTCTCCTTTGAGGAACAGTATCTTTTACCAGAAAGCCACCTGTTTTTGAAGAAAGTTATGTCAATGCTTTTGAAAAGCAAGTGGTGTTCTAATAATGCTCTTGTATTAATACTTTCATAGCAAATGAGAAGCAAGTGGGGAAAAAGCAAACTTGACAAACATGTTGATGAAGAATGTCAAAAGGAAAATTTGTGTTTGGAAGCTCTACTAGATAAGACACTTTACAGAACAAAGAGTTGCAAAATTATTTCTGTACCAGGAAAAAGAAAATTTTTAAAACCAGATCTAGTTACAGTGGAGAATTTTTGATTCAGAAGTGAAAACTCTGAGCACGACACATCTGAAAATTATATAGCTTACAACTCTTTCAAAAATTTACGATTGAACTACATTTCCTATTCCCAGACTGCATGTATCTCTTCAAGAAATACAGGTAACTCAATTGTATCAGTGTCCAAGAACACTTTCCCTCCCTATTTATTTGTAATATAACCCCTTAGAATGAATATAAATTGACCATGCTTATTCACAGATTATTAACAGTCAAACAAGGATAGTTATTATTTTAAAAACTCTGGCTACACACAAGTGCTGCTACCACTTAAACACTGAAGTAAGAAAAAAAAGCCATTAGCTATAAAACTATTTTCAACTCACTGGAAGTCAGAAATGTCAGAATTGCAAAGTTTATAATTCTTTGAATTTGCCATGAAGATGCACATACTTTAAGTTTTCAAAAGATAGATTTAAACATCAGAAAGAAAGCACTTCATCATTTCAGAGTTGAATCGTCAATTAATGTTTGCATATTTATCCTCTGCATAATGTAGCTAATATGAAATCCAAATTTAGGAAAAATGTACCCCATTCAACAACTTGCTGATGTCTATCTCCTTTTTCTACCCAGAAGCACAGAAAAGAACATGGAGCTCTTGAATTATACCGAAAGGTCAGCAAAAAAGGAAGCAACACTCATCTTGACAAAGTATTTCTTCAAATTATTTTACTTCCCCAAGGAAGGCACCCAGGCACCAAAGGAAAGAAAGTGTTTGAATACTTGGTCTAATCTTTTTATTCAGAAAACAAACAAGAGTTAAAACAATTGTTTTCAGATATATTAAACATTTCTGTTTCTTATCAGTCAAGTTCTGCTTTCACCTGCCATTGCTGATTACCTCTTAGTTGAAGCAGCAATTTTTGCTTAAATGAAATGCATTGATAGATGCTGTTTAACCAATGCAAACGAGCACAGAAGCAAGAAATTGTATGTTAAGAAAGCAGAGAACATGGCTGTTATACAGAGAAGAATCCCTACGAATTTGCTATTTTAATAACCTACAGCATCGTTATATTTTCAGCTCAGTGGAAGACGCACACACAACCCCCCTGTTTCCCAACAGGGCTAATGTTTTAAATCATTTTTATGAAAATATTTGCATTTACATTGCACTCCAGTGATTACTTAGGGCTCATACCTTGTAAGCATGCACTGTAATCAGTTTATTACTGCAGCCATTCTAACACAGTCCTACTGATGACTCATCTGTACAAAGAACAACTGCAAACATTTTCTTCATGAGAGCGGACTTTTGACAGCTTGGTTCGAATGGAGTCTTTTGGAAGCCCAGGAGAAAGCAAAACGCTGCTCCCCCGGAAGAAACCTTTCAGTCACAGGCAGCTTGGCACATGCAGACTCTACATATTGAAAGAGACTTCTGCTGCTATATCTCATATCTCACTGTTTTAGCTGTTGTTTCTTTCTACATCATAACAATCAGACCCTCTATAGCAAGTCAAAGCCATTTGTTGTCTTTTAATAAGGTTTCAAATACTCAGTGAAACTACTATGCAGCAGCTCTGCAAACAGACCTTGTCAAAATACTTCTGTATGTTTAGCACTGACCTGCTAAATCCAGAAACAGAGATGGCTCCCCTGTTTCCAGTCCAAGACAAATTCAGCCACTGGATGAGAGTGCAGCGAGACTGTAGGTATTCCAGGGATGTGTCATTAATCCTTGCCCAGTAAGGTTGTAAACTGAGATGAATGTACTGCAGAGGATCACAGCAATGTTGATACAGTAGCTTACAAGTTTGCGCTAGTCTACACAGGTCTGGTACTGTAAGGTGACTCAAAATCAGCTGGATGAGCTATATTAAAAACAGAAAAAAGTCACAGCTGGTCATAAAGCACTTGAAATGGGAAGGGAGAACTGCAAAGGAATGAGAAAAGACGTTCTAACTTCAAAGAAAAGTAAACCCTTTTACTTAAAAGTAATTTCTCAAATAAATCCTTGATTAACTATTAAATAAGACCACAGTGCCTTCTCAATTTGACAACATATTCAACAAGAAAGGAAAAAGCAGATCAGCATATGAAAGTGACAGGAAGCTTTCAAATTAGAAGTTTCTTTACCCATGCTAATTTAAACAGCGATATATATGTAAACGCTGTGTTTACATAGTTACCTACACAATGTCTGCACTGCTGTTGATCAGAACACCCAACTGGCATTCTCTTTCTTCTCTGCATTTGTTTTTTTAAGATGGTAGCATATTTGCAGAATACATGGAAAAACCATACCATGTCCCAGTTTCCCCACACCTTGAACTGACTTCAGACTTATTCATCTGCTTCCTGCTTAAAAAAAAAATTAAAAAAAAAATCAGTGTTTTGTCTTCTACCTTATATCCTCTCCCATTCATGCTGGACTAAGGAACTAGGCAAAAAATTCAACATATAAAGTAATCTCTTCCCTGCTGTACTACTTGAAAAGCATTTTTGTTCTATGCCAGAGTCAAATCTGAAATGCAAAAATCATCTCAGCTTCAGAATAATCACCAACCGTTCTGACTAGCACCCCTACACATATTTTTGTAATGATCTATCACGCTCAGAAATTAAGAAATACCTTCTATCTCCTATCGTGCTCTGTTTTCCTTTCTCAAGGAAGATGAACATACACAAACACATAAATAATCACTTTAGGAAATAACAAAAATGCTCAGCAAAAAACCCCAAACTCTTTTAGCTTAGAACGTGAGAAAAAATGCACTTAAAAATGAAATCTAAGAACGGGTATTTACTGTACCAGGGCTGTCTTTAACAGCCGTAAGTACCTGCACTCAAGTTATGGAACTAAAACTGACTAAGCGCTTTCAAGCGTAGTGGGAAACAGTAACTCACTGAAATGAGTAATGAATCACTGCAAGTTAAAAAACCAACCAAACAAAAAACCAAAATCCACAAAACAGCTTAAACTGAAGAGAGTCCTGTGGTCCTTTGAAAATACCATAATGTTTCATTTTAATGTTTCATAAGGATTCATAAGACAAAACCGCCAAAAGTCAGAATGCTGACATAAAATGAAAATGAAGCTTTTGTGCGAGATCCAAACAGATTGTACTCCCAATGTACCAGTTTATTATGCAGCTAGCTTCCGCCTCCCCTCCTCCCCGCTTCATTTTTGGAAGAGAAGAAATAAGAAAACAATCCAACTTCCTGCAAAATGAAAAATGTTACTTCCTACTCAGCTCCAGATTTAGTATTTGGATTTCAAACATGATATACGACTCTTCAAAAAATTTAACTTCAACTCCAATGCCAAAAATACAGTATTTGCATGTACTCCAGTTTCTCTCAAGCTTGATTTCAAGCCTTCCCTCTTCCCTTCTCTTCGCTCCTCCTTCACCGTAAAAACAGCCCAGGCTTTAACCTCTGCAGATGCCTGGACCTCTCACGTCAGCTTGATGCAGAGGATCTGTGTAGACACTGCAATGTGACAGCAATCTATATAAATAATGCATATATAATAACTGGAGTTAATATATTATAATCAAAAAAGTTTGCTCTCAAGTGACATCTAGGTTGTTGGCATTTTGGTATCTGAGAGAGAACAAACTAACTAGGAGCTAACAGATATATATATAT